GCTCAAGGCCAGGTTGGATGGGGCTTTGAGCACTCTGATCTGGTGGGAGGTGTCCCTGCCCCATGGCAGTGGGTTTGGAACTGAGTGACATAAAGACCCCCTCCAACTCAAACCATTCTGTGATTCTATGCTATTACCAACCCCTAGGTTTTAGATGGAGGTCATTGAAGCTGTATACACTTGCTTGAGGCTTGTAAATCTGCCCGAGACTCAGGGGACCACGTCCAGAGCCTCTCAGCATCTGTGCACTTCAGTTCCCAGCTCGCCAGGTCATGGGAGCAGAGCCAGAACATTGCAACAGGCTCTGCATGAAGCAAGCAAACATCCACCCAAGTTTTTTTAGCTCAGACTCTGTAACTTTGCTCTCCTGTGCAGTACAGAAGATTAAATGAGAACGTTGTTAATGTATAATGTGTGCCAACAGGTGTTTTCAATGTTGTTCTGTCCTTTTGTTTATTGACAGGTATGGTTTCACTTTTCTAGGACTTGAAAACGATTTCATGAAAGTACGAAACCAAAAGAATGAAACTGAAATGTAAGTGCTACAGGGACTGCCGAGGAACAGGGCTGCTGGTGCTGTGCCATCTCCTGCCTGGCTTAGTCAATTTTGGTCAACGTAGCCAATCTGGCGAGGCCAAAGCTGTTCTGTGAGGGGTGTCAGATTTTGCTGGCCCGCCTGAAAAATTCCTGTCCTTCTTACAACACGCACTGTAGCAGGGTGCAGGTTGAAAGGCTTGCTTGCATAAATCTGCTGGTGGTTTTAATGATGCCTAAATTCAGGTCCCTTAAGTGCCTGTGGTCCCTTGTCTGTATCCTTCATCTGTGCCCAGCTGTGCAGGTGGCTCCCAGGTTTCAAGCGGTGGTTCCTGATGTTATGGACAGTGTCTGGGCCTCACAGCAGGATACTGTAAGCCTAAACTGGGTGATGTGGTTCCCTTCCCTGTAACATTTTTCCCCTCCTGAGCTGAAAATAGATTTTGCCCTGTGCTCACAGCTTGGGGGTCATCTGAGAATCACTGTCCCAATGTTCCCCGAGAACTTGCCTTCACAAGCAAGTTTCACTTCTTGATCCCCTTACAGTGAAATATTTAAATGCCAGCGCTGATGTTGCTTCCTGCTGACCCAGCCTGGGGGCTTGGCGTGCTGGTGGGCACCCGCATGCTCAGCCTCAAAGCAGCACTGAAACTTTTTTTTCCACTCCATTTTCTTGTGCGGTAGCTGTAAAAAGTACATTTTCCAGTGAGTGCTACCTCTTGTAGGGTGTATTTCTCTAACTTAGTGACTTTTTGTCTGAAGTAGTTATTCTTCTTTTACTGAGTCTAAGCTTTTTTTTTTTTTAAGGTACCAACTTCTCCATGTGTTGAACTTTGATCCTGTGCGTCGCCGTATGAGTGTCATTGTGAGGACCACCACTGGTATGATTAAAATGCATTTCTGGATTCCCATACATGTGTGTACAAATATAAACCACATCCTCTTTATTCCTGTAACCCAGAAAGGCTAAGTGGTTAGGTTTTCTAAGCTGATCTGATAAATCCTGTACTGAGTCTGGTTGGGATAGAGTTAATTTTCTTTAACCAGCAGCAGATAAGGGGAGGGAACTGGGATGGGGACAGGGACCCAGGCACTGAGATCTCTGTGCTTGCCTTGTTCCAGCCTGGAGGTACAAGTACAGCTGGGGAGATGCGAGATCTTCCCCTGAGCAGGGTGAGTTATTGTGGGGACAGCATACAAAAATTCAGAGGTCACCATTCTTCTCAAATGTCAGTCCTGTAAGGTTTGAGATGTTGATTTTGCCTTTCCTGAAAAGGTTGCCAAGGCTTCTAAATAGGAAAAAATAAACTGCTTTGCCCAATCTGGTGCAGAAAGCTTGCTCAGAGGCAGGTATGGACATCCAAGGTCACAACCTGGGGTCAAGCAGGGTTTTGCATGGTTACTGTAAGGCCTCTTTTGGTGGGCAGCTGGGCTTTTAGCAGTCCTTTCTTTAGCAGTCCTGCCAAGTTTCCTTTCTCTGTGTCATTTGCTGGTTGTTGAAGCTGTTAAGTCTTTCTACAGCTTGTGAGTGCTATAAACTATTTACAATTTGCTTTTAGGAAAGTTGCTTCTCTTCTGCAAAGGAGCAGACTCCTCTGTTTTTCCAAGGGTGCAGCAAGAAGAAATTCAACAAACAAAAGTCCACGTGGACCGCAACGCTATGGTGAGTGCACGGCTGGCATTTGGCTGGCTCCTGGGGTCAGGAAAGCTTTATTCCAAAAATAGGGAGGTGACCTTGCTTTGGACAAAAGTGTTGAAAATCTGAGTGTTGCTTCACATTGTTCTGAAGCCAAGCATCTTTCCTTTTCTGATTCTTTGGCTTCCACCTTTATTTGACTTTGATATACTTATATGGTCTTTATCACAGTTGTGTCTAAGCAGCTCCCAAGCAAGTTAAAAATAGAAATAACAATAGCAAGCTGTTTTCTCCAGTGGGAAAAGTGCCTGGTCCCAGTCATGGGGACAACCGGTCCCTGCTCTCCCTGCTAGATGCACGCTCTTGCCTCTGATCCTTCTTTTAGTTTCTCTCTGCCTTATTACATGCATGTAATAAGTGTAACCACAGTTTCTTTGATGGGATGAAGTTACTGTATGAACACAGGGAAATTGGTCTTTTGAGTCAAGCCAACAAATTGTCATTGCCATCAGGGTCAGTACTGACAGAAAGCACTGATGGTGGGGAATAGCACTAACTCTCAAGTGAGGAGCTGTAGGAAATCTGGTTTCAGGACACTTGTCCACTATAATTTCTTTCTCTCTCCCTACCAGGATGGCTACCGAACGCTCTGCGTGGCATTCAAAGAACTAACTCAAAAGGAGTATGACAAAATTGACAGACAACTTAGTGAAGCTAAGATGGCTCTGCAGGACAGGGAGGAAAAGATGGCGAGGGTTTTTGAAGACACAGAAGCAGACATGCACTTGATTGGGGCTACTGCCGTAGAAGACAGGTAAAGAGGTGCCCATCACCACCACGGTGCCTACAGTTTCTCCCTGACATTGCATTATGGCCCTGACTTGCTGTGCTGGAACTGAGCAGCCAGGCACATGCTTGGAAGTGTCTAGGGCAACTAATTACTCTGTGGCACAACCCATTACACAGTGCCCTCGTTGCTAAAATCAGCTGGTGTAGTAGGAATTAGAATTTATTAATGAAACTACAGAGGTACTCGTGCTTCTGTAAAGTGAATTAAGCATGCAGCATTCATTTGCACATCAAAACAGATTTAGTTTTGCATGCAGTTACAGTAACTGCATGTGTAAATTAAATTCTTATTTTTGACTCAAGTCTCACAGTATAAAGCAGTGATGATTTTTTGTTTTGGCTGCAAATAAAAACTTGTGATTGACTTCTAATCCTTATTCCTGTGGCAGTAGTCTCTTCAGCATAGGGAAAATCAATGGACTTTTTTTTGAGCTGGTATTTCCTACCTGCAAAATAAAGGTTGCACAGATTAAGCGTGGGCCAGCCTGAGCAGTGATGTTTTTACTTCTGCTTGCAGGCTGCAGGAACAGTCAGCAGAGACAATTGAAGCTCTACACACAGCTGGCATGAAGGTTTGGGTGCTGACGGGAGACAAGATGGAAACTGCCAAATCCACCTGCTATGCCTGCAGGCTTTTCCAGACCAGCACCGAGCTGCTGGAGCTGACAGCAAGAACGGTGGGGGAGAGTGAAAGAAAGGAGGATCGGCTCCATGAACTGCTAATGGAGTACCATAAAAAACTGATTCAGGACATTCCCAAAAACCGGGGAGTCCTAAAGAGGTAAGTGAGCAGGAGGACCCAGTCTGTGTGCACTTGGGATGCAGTTGCAAAGTTTATAGAGAAATAGGACCATGCTGTGGCCCTGGCAACTAGCCTGCTTGGAGACACTGCAACTGGCTCCTTTGCTTTGCTCATTATCTCTAGTATTAGCTGGTTTTGAACTTAATTACTCAGTTCCCTTCGTGAAAGTCACATGTTAAATCCAAACTTGGTAAGATTGCTGAACCCCCCAAAAGGGATGGGAAGAAAATGAATACAAAAGCAATTTATTTTCTGCTAAGGTGATACAAGAAGCTGGATTGACTTTTTAAGTCTGATTTAATTTCAAACTTGTTCCTTGTTGTATCCCAGAAGCTGGACATTGAGTCAAGAATATGGCCTGATCATAGATGGCTCAACACTGTCACTGATACTCAACCCTTCTCAGGACTCGAGTTCTAGTAATTACAAAAACATATTTCTACAAATCTGCTTGAAGTGTACTGCAGTCCTCTGCTGCCGGATGGCTCCCTTGCAGAAAGCACAGGTATTTACTTTTAACTATCTGAAGCACATCATTAGAGGATGCAATGCACTTCTAACCCATTGGCTGGGACTTGACCTGATCATCTTAATCAGCTGGGACTTCTGGCTATGTGTAAGCCTTGTCTGAGCTTCAGTGTGTGATGGAAACACACCAGTTTTTCAAATCTGAATGTAAACCTTTGTTTCATAAGCTCGCAGGAAGCCACAAACCCAAGCCAATTAGAAATAAACAAAAAACTATTTGTTCTTTTTACCTTTCCAAATTTGTTGAGTGGAGTCTGTGACTTTCTCATGCCAGCTGATGGTATCCAATCCTGATGAGTGACATGTTTCTGCTCCTCTTCCATGGGATGGTTTCCTGTCCCCTGAAATGGCCAAGGGGTCCCATCTTTGGGAGAGTGTGGTCTGGCAGAAGGGAAGAGTGGGATGCTGCTGTCTGGGATTTGTTTTTAAATACTGTCCTTCATCTCCGTGCAGCTGGATCTTGGCTTTCACTCTGGCTGATGACTGCAAAGGAAATAACGAGGGAGTTTATTAGTCTGAAGTTTCCAGGCATTATCTTGCTGCTGTAAAAGCCCGGCTAGTTGACCTGAGGGACTTTTGCAACTGGGGCAGTGGGGAGGAGGGGCTCCGGAGGCTTTTTAACTGAATTTTTTGTTTCTGCTGTTATCCTTTTAGATTGTGCGAATGGTAAAGAACACAAAAGGGAGCCCTATAACACTCTCTATAGGAGATGGTGCAAATGATGTTAGTATGATTCTGGAAGCACACGTTGGAATAGGTAATACCCTGCTAATACCCATCTGATGCCTAAGACCCTTCTGCTGTTGCTGGGGTTCACTATTGAGACACAGTCAGTATTTCTGATTGCACACAGTTAAACTGATCCCATTGAAAGATGCAGAAAATCTGCTATTGCTTTCTTTGGAGGCAGTGTTTGATTCCAGATAAATATTTGGGATCATCATATGCTGCTCACCTTTGATAGTACCACTCTCTTATCAGTGATTAAACTACAGGTTGTGGTCAAAAACTCTATGGCCAAATTCAAGGTTGCAAAGGTTGCTTGCTGGTCAGAAAAAAAAAAAGGCACAAGTAAACTGATGGGTGATTACTGGCAGTTGTTGCAAAGGCGGTGCAATTAAAATATCAGACTTTATTAGAGCTAACTGGTCGCAGCTGCTAGTAAGTCACCACTGGGAGCCACGTGTATTTCCCCAGGGCTGATGCTCAGTTACTTTGTGTCTGGCCTGTTGGTATGACTGACATCAGGCTGGAAACAGTCCTACTTTCTGCAGACTGGTGTTGGAGATACAGGAAATTGTTTTTTTCAATACTGCTAAAGAAGGGTTGATGGACAAGAAAGGGCGGCCTCTTTATTTGGGGCTATAGGAAATGCTGTGTTACCCTCTAATGAATGGGGTCCTGGTGCAGTTTGTTTTGACGTGGCTTTTGAGTGAACAAAACTGAGCTCAGCTCTGCATGGATGTTTCTGGAGGCTGAGTGTCTGCAGTGAAATAACTGGGCTGTGTGAGATGTGGGCAAGCCCGTGGGGAAATCGATTTCTTAGCTTTTATCAGGCTTGCTTAGATATTCTTCACCATGTTATCTTACATAGGAACTCAGACAGCAACCTAAATATATCTTAAAAACTCCAGAGGCAGATCTGAGTGCTGTGGAGCCAAAACCACACCGAGTCTTGCAGCACATTAGCATTTTGCTCTCCTGGGGTACTCAGGGGGGAAATACAGCCTTTGTCATGCCTTGAGACACTGAGTGATGTGACCAAGTCTAGTGGGTAGCATCGGTCCAGATTACCGTCCCGTAAGGATTAACCCCTTGCTATAGCATTGATCTAAATCCCAATCACTTAAGTACTAATCCCTTGCCATGCTTCTATCTCCAGGCATAAAAGGCAAAGAAGGGCGACAGGCTTCCAGAAACAGCGATTACGCTGTGCCAAAGTTTAAACATTTAAGAAAATTGCTACTAGCGCATGGGCATTTATATTATGTGAGAATAGCACACCTTGTACAGTATTTCTTCTATAAGGTAAGGATGTGTGCACAGTGTGTCTTGTTGTTTGTACTGTGGGGTTTTTTTGACGATAGGAAAAAGAGCAAACAGGAAAAAAATGTATAGGATAGTCTGTAGCTCTGTTCTTTCCCCAGAACAGGCTGTCTCTGCAATGTGCCTGTCAGTTGAGAGTAATGCTTACAGGGCAACATGAGCATGACTTTCTTCCAGTGTTTTCTGCAGATACTAAGAGTTCATTGGGTTAGTTTTGTGCTTGGTAGAAAACAATACCCTAACTCATCTGATACTGTAATAAAAGATGCTAATGCCTCGTAACAGGAAAAAATATTTACATTGAGAAGTCAAGAAATTTCCTGCTAACTGTTTGTCTTTTGTTTCCCTAGAACCTTTGCTTCATTTTACCGCAGTTTTTATACCAGTTCTTCTGTGGATTCTCACAGCAGGTAACTTCCAGTAACATGTCTATAAAACCAGGATAAAAAGCAAGAGACACAACGAGGCTTCCTAGCAGAGACTTGGCTTTTAGTGTCCAGTCCCTTTCTCTCCTCACTTTAGAGGACAGTAGGAACCAACCCCATTGCTCAGTGATGTCTTTCTTTTCAGTTATGGGTCTCAAAAACATCTTTCTCTCCTTTCCCATCAATCGCCCATGAACACAGATGGACACCTTCCTAAAATAACAAGAGGGGTTTAGCTGGTCAGTCAGCACCTGATTTTGCTACTACTTCTTCTTCTAAGAGAAAAAGTTTTCAAAGACTTCCTGATCTTTTCTCTGCCTCTCAAAAGGAAGAACAGTTTGTTCTTTTCTGACAGCCTTTAAAAAAAGACACATGATGAGTGTCATCAGAGCCTTGCTTTGTCCAAGTAATCAGAAGGACTGATCTGTTTGGCGGGTGGACTCATATGCATGGAGACCAGAGCTTTGGCTTTTGTGCCAACTTACCAGCTTTTGTGTCTATTTGGGCTCAAAAGTAATCATATGGAAGAGTAAATGATAGGAGATAATTCTCTACTTGTCTGGGCAGAACTACTTGCTTTTTTTCTTAAAAAAAAAAAAAAAAGTCATAGTTCTCCAAAATAGTCTAGTCTTTAGAGAGTCATAGGAGACATCAAGTATATTAATAGAAAGAGCAGCTACAGAAAAGCTGTGATAAGGCCTGTTTAATCACATTTTTCTGGAGAAAAAGCTGGAGCTGAGACCAGCCAGCTACAAAACTTCTGGGTGCTGGGAATGAGGTCTCAGTCACTTAGCCTGCAGGTGCCTTGGCCCCCTGGCATTGCATGGAGTGTCACCCCTATCAAATGAAACTGTCCTGTGTGGCTATGACAGAGATTAATCTGTAGGGTATGTATGGAGGCAAGGGCTGGAAACAGTTAATCTCTTTATGGGGAGACTTTTAAAGGGGAATTTGTCTTATTTTACCCTTTCTTCTTCTAAGCCGCTGTATGATGCTGCTTATCTTACCATGTACAATATCTGCTTCACATCACTACCTATCCTGGCGTACAGCCTCCTGGAGCAGCATATCAACATCGACACGCTGACCTCGGATCCACAGCTGTATATGTAAGTAGTGCTGGACTGGATATGCTTTGACACAACTTGGTGGTTTATCCATGGTTTAAGTTTTGTTGGTGCAGGAGTGTAAATAGCTGTCCTTGTTCTGTGTCAGTGATGGGGTTGCCATGAACTGCAGAAAAAGGCTGTTTCTGTCCCTGTTGGCTCTGCTGCTGAGCAATGTCCTATTTACTGCCTATTTCTAGTTAGTTATGCTCTCCAACAGTGTCTGGACTAGCAAATTGTGCTGCTGCGCCCATATAAAAAGGTAAACTGTAGTGGAGTTCTTTATCCATAATAAAAATCAAGCTGCAAGTATGGCCAGACTATTCACTCACGTTAGCTTTAAGCCAGGCAGCATGAGTTAAGCGCATGATAGAGTGTATAATGGGTCACAGAGAGATATAGCTTTCAGGAGAAAAAAAAAAAAAAAGATCTGGTCATTTTCAGAAGGGCAAATGTTCCTGAAGCCCAGCTCAGGCAGGTAGTTTTTCTAGCCTTCCCCCTAGGCTTCCCCTCCACAGGCCAACTCCTCATATCAGAGACTATTGCTGGAGAGCCCCTCTCTTTGAGATTCCTGCCCATGGCAGAGCCCAGTTTAAGAGGAGACTGTCTCTCTGCTTTTGCTGGTTGCAACAGGAGGAGGCTCTGACTTCCCACAGAAACAGAGATGCTTCCCATCTTCCTCCCACCCCTGCCTGCACACACACACACTTGGGTGCAGCCCTTCAGCAAGGACTAAGGAAGATGCTTTTTTTTGGGAGTACTCTGTTCATATATCGCTGTTGTTAATTCACTTGCTTGGCAGTAAGCTCAGCACCGAGCTCACCCCTGTGACAAGCAACCAGGTTGAGACTGCTCTGACCAGTGCCTTGTGCAAGCCCTGTCACCATCATACAATGCTGTGTGTGACATGACTGTGTTTAAGCCAAGAGTGATGCCTTTGCAGGGACAGCAAAGGGAGTTAGCAGATGCCTAAAGATAGTGTGTTGTAGTTGCTTTAGTTATAGAAAAATCGGCAAATGCAACAAGAGCTGTAAAGCTAGTAAGGGACTTTGGGTGCTTTTGAAGTAAGTACTCAGATCCAGGATTGATCAGACCTCTGCATTCCTCCACTCATATAGCAAAATGCCACCGTGTCTATTTTAAATAAATTGGTAATTGGATATTGTGTGGCATAGACTAGTAACAGCAGGCCCCTGCGCTTTCACACGGGTGGGCTGTCTGAACTCTGGGGTCTGTCCATTGAGGGAAAGCAGATTAATTGTGCAGGCAGATAGCTTTAGTTTGAATATTCATGACTCTGCATGTGCTGCTGAATGCAGAGAGTCTGCTGCGCCTCTGCTGTATGAAGTGCTGAGCTGCTGCAGTGCAGATCTCTAGTCTGAGGCGCTGTGAAAAACCTGTTTACGATGAGCACTGCGGGACATAAATGTGAATGCAGAACAGAGCTTGCAGTGAGGAAGATGGTTGTATTTTCTCTCCTTGCAATAAAACGCACTTACAGTCTGGTTTATCCATGCTCTTTATAGTCAAATTGTGGTGTGTGAGAGCATTCCCACTGCATCATCATGCATAGGATTCAGTAGGGTTTTGTTTTGAAAACTGCAATTATACGAGCCCAGCACCGCAATGGTTTGCAAGGTCCATCTTGGTGAAAATAGATGTATTGCTTTAATAGTTAGGAAGAAAAATGAGAAATGAATGGGGATTTTTGGTTTTGTGATAAGCAATGCTTTTATCTCCTATCAATCTTCAAGTTTTAAAGGAAATAATCTGAAAAGATAATGATGCAGGAAACTCTCTTTAGCTCCCTCCTGCCTTGATGGCCGCTCTCCGCTCACCAGCCTTTGCCTGCAGTCTGTGCAGAGCTCTGCCCACAGCACATCCATTTGCTGCTGCCTCCATGCTGGATCTCATCCTATATTCAGCCAAGAGCCTCCTTCTACAACCCCCATGTTAAAAACACCCACCGTACGATTTAGGAGGTTATTTTCAGTCTGCTCAGAAAAAACACTACTTCCAGGGATGGAACTTGCAGAGCTTTGCTCAAAGAGGGATTTTGGGGATTTAACAAAGCAGGAAACACACCACAGATTTGCCGCATCCTCTGCAGCTTTTCTTCAGCATTGTCCTGGTTTTAAAATTCAGCAGTTAATGTCAGATACCCTGGGCAGAGCAGGAGCAGGGGGAGAGGCTCAGGACAGCGTTATAGCTGTTTGCTTTGAGCTGGCTTGGATTAAAATCCACCTAGAGGAGAAGGACAAAACAAATTTAATATGCTGAACCTCTTATGATTTGTCATGGCTAACAGCTGCATGTGGCAGATGTTTTTGTCCTGTACGCTGGCAGATATCTGTGCGTTTTACCTCCTTGTTTCCAAAGCCTACTGGCCGCCTGGCTGCAAGGGGCTTTGCAGCGCATCTTAAATATGGCAATGATGTTCTTGTTACTCTCTCTTGGCAGGAAGGTTTCAGATAATGCGATGCTGCAGTGGAGGCCGTTCCTGTACTGGACCTTTCTGGGCACCTTTGAAGGACTTGTGTTTTTCTTTGGGGTTTATTTTCTTTTTCAAAATTCATCATTGGAAGATAACGGAAAGGTAACACCACCAAAAAAAGAAAAAGAAAGATGAGTGTTTCTTTTGTGCACTGCCTCTTTTATATGCTTGGCAGGGAATATCTACACGCTTAATCTGTGTGGTGTGTCTTGAGTCTTGTCAGATGGTGTAGCCTTGCTTATGGTGTGATTTTGCAGCAAATGCTTGAAATGAAACATTTTCCAAATTGCCATGGAAACAGGGCAGAGCTGGTTATACTCAATAGGCAAAAGAACTAGTCTTACACATAGCTTTATTCCAACCTGGCAAGCTTTGCACAACACTCTTCCACTCTCCTGTGTGGTCCCAGGTGTTGAGCCAGGGCAGGAACACTGTCTGTCCTTCCTACCAGCATGCCATGTGAATTTGAGCACGTGTTTGGCTGGAGACTAGCAACTGAATTATCCCACCTTGATAAGATGCTGCTTGTCAGCTTTTCTTTTTTTTTTTTTTCTTTTTGCTGGTTAACTGAGTACAGAGCAAAGCATTAGTGCAGTGCAGCTGCCACGCATGGTGACCTGGGCTGTCACAGGACCCTTTCCCCAAGGGGATACGGAGCATGTCAGCAGGTCTCCACTGATGGAAAACTTCTTTATGCCATCACTTGTGACCCTTGAAAATACCTTATTTTTTTTTTTGTAGCAGCTAACACTTGGAGAAAAACTCATGAGATTTACGTATGTATATGCATACGTTACATCAGTGCCAAGATTTATGGCCCCAGCTGTAAGCAGTCAAACCTGTGTACTGTAGATTGAGTGCTTTTCTGTATTTATAGCCATTCTGGTTGTATTTGAATAAAACATGAAGCACTGATATGTTCTGCAAATGCTTTGAGAGATCAGGTCTGTGGGGCACTAAAATAAGATTTGTGGTTATGTCCTGTTCTGTAAATACTTATACCTGTAAGAACTGCTACCAGCAATTGCTCATAATATCCATGTATGTTTGATTGACCCCTTTTTCGCTCCTATTGACTTTAATTTTTTTGCATTTTTTGAAAATTTTTACATTTCACTTTCTGTTTTAATGTATGCATTCAGATCTTGACAGCCTTTGGTAAGCATCCCTCCCATTCATCGCCATCGTTTGGATTTATACGCAGTATCTGCTTTTCTTTGTCATGCGTAGTCACTAGTATCCGCAAACCAAACCAGATGGAAAAATACCCACTGGTGCATTCTGCAAATGGGACTGAAATGAGACAATGAGCAGAGGTGTTGCGAGAAAGCAGAAACTGAGTAAATTACCAAGAAGCCATGAAATACAGGTGGTCTGATGACTTGTAACATTGCTGTTAGTAGGAGGTTGTACCTGTCACCTGTCTGTGTGGCACTGCATGGCACAGGGTAGCGTAGCGGGCAGCAAGTTGTGCAGGGTGCCCGATGCCTCTGCGAGCATCACTCCCTTGTAGTAGTTGCTCCATCCCGTTCTTCCCCTCCGGTCCCTGCTTGCACGCCTGTCCTCATCGTCTTCTGTGCCTCTCCAAGGAGATGGACCAAGACGCCTGTGGCAATGTAACTTGTTTTTCAGGTTTTTGGGAACTGGACTTTTGGGACGATTGTTTTCACCGTGCTGGTGTTCACCGTCACTCTGAAGGTTAGGCTCTTCCTTCCTTTTTCACTCGCTTATTTTTGCAGTCATTTTCCAATGCATGTGTATGCGCTGTGAAATCATGCAGCAAACGTGTTGAAGGTGAAGTTTCTCTGAGTAAGTTTCCCGCCACACTTAAATCTTCTCTAAATCTTCTCTTCTTCCATAGAGGCAGAACTTGCTTATTGACCCCTGTCCATTGTGTAGTCCATGGGCTGTGTTCTGGGCTGTGCTGGTCTATAAGTGTTAAATTATTTTCCTGGTTTTTGCCCTCTTCTGAGGACTCCAGTTGATTACAGTTGACTTTCTCACACTTTTACCCCTTGGTGTTCAGTTCCAACAAGAAGAGAACAACAATGGAGAGCGTGGGTTTGTCCACCTTGTTTCAGGTGCTGCAAAGCACTGGAGGGATCACAGAAGCACATGTATCACATAATAATAGCAAATCTGCTGTGTTTCACAGAGCCTTCCAGAACAAACAGTTTGCATAAGACCCTACAATATGTCTTTTATGTTTGGTTCAGGAAAGCAGGTGGTAGCAGGAGGCAATTAGAATCCCCATAACCTTTAGACATTTCTTTCCTGTAACATCAGAGGTTGCATCAAATTTATTCTACTAAAAGATGTCAGTTACAATTAGAAACTCACTATTTCCCTGTTGACATTGTGCCAGTCTGGAGATACTGAAAATATTTTCCCTGGTGCACATATGCAGAGAGGTAGTTGTTTGGAAAATTTCAACCTTAATGTGAAAGCGGTGAGAAATTTTATATAAATAGAATCAAATACACCTGCATCTGATGCTTCTTCTGTCTTTTATTCACACAGCTGGCATTAGATACCCGATTCTGGACATGGATGAACCACTTTGTGATTTGGGGCTCCCTTGCCTTCTATGTGTTTTTCTCATTCTTTTGGGGAGGAGTCATTTGGCAAGTACCTTTTCTTCTTTCTGTAGTGCTTTCTTAGGGGAGCGCCCAATGCTGGCTCTGGCGAGGAGACAGACATAGCTGCAGCATCCCCTTAGTTGGCTATCCAGAGACTTACGGATGGCAGGAGCAATCATGCTCCTCCCTCTGCTGAAGAGATAGCCTAGAAGCAGATAACACCCTGATTGCCATCCAGGTTGCTTGCCTTTTACAAGAGGTGGTTTGCTTTTCTGCCTGTAGGTTCCTTTCTGATCTGTGTGTGTGGATGGGAAAGGAAAATTGGTGGTAGAAAGGAACCCTATGGAACAGAAGGAAAGAAAAGATGAGGCAGATGCAGAGCCAGAGAATCTGGCACTCTGGGGCAGCTTAAGGGGGGAGAAAGGAGCAGGAGAAGACTCAGATCCTCCTGCTGAAATCCTGGATCCGAGTAGAAGAATAAACTCTCATTGATTTGACTGTGACCAGGATTTTAGCCTTAATGTCTTGCAAAAGCAGGCAAGCAATAGTACATTACAAATATTACTAGTTTTCTATTTGTCATACTGGAGTAGATGTTCAAGTTGACATTCACAGCATCTTCCATTTTACACCATAGGCTGTTGGCTAGATCCCTGACCCAGCAGTCTGCTACTAAAGATGTGGAACTGATTTAAATATTTTAACTGAGCGTCACAGCCTTTAACTCTTCAGTGTTCCTAACCAGCAGATTCAGATCTGTGATCTAGCCAGATCTCTGTGCTGAAATATGTGAGTTTTCTACTGTTGTATTTAATTTTCACAGCTCAGTATTTTTGAGTCAAGCAACAACTGCTTTGGGATCCTTGTTATTGGTTATTTATGAGGCATTTTTCACAAGCTTCTGTTGTTCCCCTTTGTTATCAAGAGAGGAAGACACAAACAACCTATTAGGACTGACAGTCTGAATTTCCACTACCAAAAGCAAACCACAAGCTATAATGAAGTCCAGAGTTGAAATAAAATTATCTGTTTTTTGACAAGGTGAATAATTTATCTTTCAGTGATAGTAGCAAAATCCAAACCCCTCCCCACCCTGAAATGAAACAGATGTGGAAGATGCAAAACAGACTGTGCAAGGTGACAGGACAGTCGTCCAGAACTGGTGCAGTTGAAGGCAGGAGATGCACTGGGAGAAAGATAGACAGTGTGTTTCTGAGCAGCTGTATCCATCCCTATATGAAAGGGAGGCATTACTGGTAATGGTTTGATCTGAATCTGACTTTGATTCTGACCTTCTTAGAAAATGAGTGTTAACTAGAATTTATTTGTATCCTTTCTTTTTCAGGCCTTTCTTGAAGCAGCAAAGAATGTATTTTGTATTTGCCCATATGCTGACTTCTGTTTCCACATGGCTGGCAATAATTCTCCTGATCTTTATCAGCCTTTTCCCAGAAATTCTTCTAATAGTTTTAAAAAATATTAAAGAGAAAAATCGTCAGGTAAGGAACAAGATGATGTATTGCACAGTATTTTTAGGAAGACCTCTTTTACTTTTAAGCACCCTATGAACGCGTAACAGTACTGTGTACCACTTGTGTCTCAGGGAAGGCTTTTTAGAGTTTCGTTTTGTTCTTTCACATGCCAGAAATGTCAGGAAGCTCATCTAAAAATACTACCTCAATCTGTAGCAAGGAGAGAATCAACCTGTGCCTTTCCTTAGTTGCCTTTATTGGATAGAAATCTGCCAATCTCTTATAGAAGTACAGTAACCCTTTTCCAACCTGATCATCAAACCCACCATACTGTGTCCTGAAAAATAGCTACTTCTTTTTATGTCAAAGAACACACCCACACTGTTCCCCGTGGGCATGTCCTCAAGTGGCGGTGCAGGGGGAATAGGGTTACATTTTGTCATATCGGGGTACCCCCTTAATAAAGGAGGGCTTGTGCTGTGGCCTTACCCTGCAATGTGTAACTCTCCTTGAAGGCAGTTTGGTTTCCTAAGAGCTTTCCTCCGCTGCTGAGGAGGAGGGCTTGTTTTAGAATTGTAAACCATCTCCTAAAAGTTTTCTTTGTCACTCCTGCAAATGGTGAATGCCAGCACTTAGGGTCATGACTCGCACTGTGCTGAGGCCTCCACCCCTGCCTCTTGCTGTCTGCTTGCCTGGAGGTGCTGAACACCCCTGCAGCACCATAACCCCCGGGCAGCCCCTGCTTACTATGGCCATGACCCCGCTGTTCCCTGTGTCTCTCCTTGCTCCTGCAGCCCCTCTTTTTCCCCTCCAGCTAGAAAAGTCTCTTCATCTGTGCATAGCAAACTAAACACAGGCTGAGCTGTATTTAAATGCACATTTTGAGGAAGAGTTTTATAAAACACCTGAAGCTGATATCAGCTCTAGATGTCTCTGTCAGCAGCCAGATGCTGTAGTCGGTCACCTAATTTTTAAAGGTATCTAAGAGCAGGTAAATGCTTTCAAATCCAGACCCTTTTTGAGAATCCTGACCTTAGTATTGCAAAAAAAAAAAAATCAAATGAAAATAAGCATTAAATGAAAAACAAGATTAGGGCAGTTATTCAGATGCCTGAACCCCCAGCTTGACACCTGAGGATTCCTCTGGAAGGGGAGGATGGACTGAGCCCAGGTCATTGAGCATTTGCCCTTGACCTCAATGGGACTGGGTTTTACCCTTAGCTACCTATAAGACAACACATCAGCTCTGCTTAGTCTTTATTAAATATTCACTGTGAAAATGTTGGGTTTTTCTTTGCTTTTTTTTTTTTTAACCGCAAGGTGCATTTGTGTTTTCCTTGGTTTCCGCCTTTCTCTTTCTTGTACTGCAATTTTCTGTCTTTTGTGCTGTTATGAACTAGGTAACGAAGCGCCTTCCTTCCTCAGGAACATCCACTATCTTCATGCTTTCTCAAACTTCCAGCAATCACAGCTTTTCTTGGAGTGAATAAGGTGATTTCCCTTCTGAGTTGCTATGTGTTGCTTGCTCTGCTGCTTTTTTCCCCTCCTTCTAATGCCTAACTCCTGCAAATCCATGTTTAGATTTGCTCACCCTGCAAAACCGTGCTTTCTCGCTCCTTCCTCTTGCTTTAATTTAAATCTTTTGCTTAAATATTTAGTCTCTCTTCCCCTTCGGTCTTCCCCTCAGGTAGGTGAACTGGTGGTGCTTGGGATGTCCAAGTGAGGTGGATGCAGCCAATGCTGGTTGCACTCTCCTTCCCCACTGTAGTTTTAGGTGTTAGTGGACGAGATCCAAACTCGTTCTGTAGAGCATGGGACAAGGTGGACTGGATTAGGGTTGTCTTCCAGATGACTTGGCAAACAGTTCAGGCTTGTTTGATTTCGGAGGAGCTCCCTAAGTGCCTGTCTTGCCCAGTCCATCCCACTTAGCACTGCTGCAATTCTTTATACAAGTGAATAAGCCACTGCACTCAACCCTCCTACCAAGGTGTACACTTGCTGACTGTGTGGATGGTGGGACTGCCTCAGAGCAAAGTGCCTTGCAAACAGGATCCCAGCATTTGGTTTCACTGCAGATCTTCTGTATGACTTGCTATTTGAAAAATACCAGTATAAAGTATAAGATCTAGCATGGTTTCCTCCTCCCTCAAAAGCACCTGTAGCATAAACGCCCCATCCCAAAGTCAGCTGTTTTGGGAAGCAGGGCTCATTTCTGCATACCCTCCGTGCCTCTTGCACTGCAAAACCCAGCCGGTGTTAATCTCCGGGGTGTGCAGGGAGCGTGGCTTGCTACAGCCCTTATGATGCGACTTAGTGGTAATGAGGTGTGTGTGTGTGTTGTACTGTTTGACTGTTAGGCAGGGGACAGCATTGCGTGTGCTGTAAGTCTCTTTGCCTCGCTGTTACAGAGCAGCAGGAAGGCACCCGAGTCCTTGTCGGCCAGACCCTCTGTCAGACCACTACTTTTAAGAACATTCTCAGATGAGTCTAATGTGTTGTAACAGGTACCCTGTCCGAAGGAGTTGGGATGGTTTTAAATGGCATTGATTAACCAAATATAACTTTCCAAATCAGTTAAACTGTGGTTCTTGTAATCTTCTTGACTGTCGGTGTGGGGCACCTGTCCTTGTGGAATGGAGATGCAATGCTTGGGATGCATTTTAATTTGGGGAGGTTGTCCTATCCAGCCTTTTCAGGATCCCATATGTGCACAGATCTTCTCAAACTGAAGTATTTTGCAGCTTAAACTGAAATATTTTGCAGTATGTAGACAAATCTTTCAATATAATTGATATTTTAGTCTAATATTAACAGGCATCTTAGTCTGTGAATAGTCAGTGAATCATGCTAACAGTGATTATAAAAGCTAACACTGATGTATTTACAGTGAAGTATTAAAATATCGGTTATTAAAATGATTCCAGTATTGCATCTGAATTGTACCAAAATCCCTTTTTCTAGGGTGCATGCTGTTCTGTCGGATAGAAATAAGTACGTTTTAATTTATCTGCATAGATTTAAACTAAACACGTGTACTTGTCTTTGTATGTAAACATACAGTATGGCAGGCATATTTGTGTCACACAGACAGCATCCTAGTACAAGTTTACTTGATTATAAACATCATAGTAAGGCAGTAGCAGAATAAAAAAGTAAAAGTGCCTAATTGAATTCACAATTTCACTATTAAGTGAGAAGTTACATAGTTGTATGGTGTCTGCTACAAACCTAAAAATGCAAATTTTCTGCAAACCTCTTCTACCTTTGTACCCATACCTGCTTGTAAAGAAAATCGATAAAGAGAATGAAAAAAAGAAAAGGAAAAAAAAACAACAACAAAAGGAATCAGTTTAATGGGAATGACAGGTCCAAGAGTCGGGTTTGCCAGAGCTCCAAATATATCTGGCATAAATGCGGGTTTCTGCTTGCCCGGGTATTGCCATTCCCTCTCTGCAGACGTTAGGTGGTGCTCTCCACTACCGTATACTGGTGCAGACTGGAGCAGAATGGGAGCTGCAGGGGATACCGAGGCAGGTATCACTATTAGGCTTTATACAGCATTTTGCAGATTGTGCAGATTGATTTACTATCTTGTTGTTTGGTTATGAATGAGATTTGGCACTTTTATCATGGTCTAACCATTCTTCTATAAAATTTTAAGTATTTTTTTCTAAAAATAACACAGGAACTGGTTTGAGTTTGCGAATGTAACAATTGCAATCCTTGTGTGTTTTCTTTCTGATTTTTGCAGACTGGCCCCTTTGATCTGCCTATGTTAGTCTCATACAAACATATAGAAAACGGTTATGTGAAGACTGAAGATGCTGTTACTAATGTGGCAGAAAGATATCCTCTCAGGATACTTTAAAGTGCTTCATACAAACACTGCATCTTGTCATGCTGTAGGAAAAAAACATGGGTCTAACCTACCAGTTCTCTTTAAAATCACCAAGTACAGTAAGCAGCCGTGTTGATAAAGCAGTAGCCAGAGCACTGGCTCCACAGTACCTGTTTGTCTTTGGGCTTGTGGCTTCCTCACCCCCTAAAAAAAATTCTGCCAAATCAGAAGTCTATGTCATTGGAGACTAAGAAAGCATCTTTTAGGGATTCATCCAAAACATCATTAATTGAAGTGCAAGAGGGCAAGGCCAGCCCTATTTCACACAGGGGCTTCCTCTGCCCACTGCAGATCTGCCTGAGAGCTGCTGAAGTCTCTTGCTCTGTCTGACCAAAGAAGTAGCACAGACTTTAAACCCAGTAACAGCCCCCTCCAGCTCCCCAAAGGCACCGGGAAGAGCCTGCTTCTCTGGTGCAGAAGCTGGATGCAGCCCTGCAAGCATCTCACCTGGTGCTGGGGCTGTCCTCTCCTCCCAGTGGGTGCTGCCCCCTCCCAGCGATGGATTTGCCAGATGCACGCAGCAGAAATACTTGAAAACTCAGGAGAAGTCGTCACTGGCGATGCAAAGCATTCAGTCGAGTATACCTACTCGGGGTACAGCTGGTCTGTATGCAGCAGTGATATCCCTGCGAAGACGCCTGGTGAGCATCCTCCTGCAGCTGGTTTGCTGATGAGCTTATTCCTTATGGAGAGTGAAGAAAAGGTAATTTTCCCCCGTGTGGTGACTTTTCATGATGGAAGGAAGCTTGCATGGGGAAGGAAAGAATCTCTAAAGTTGGGCTGTGTCAGACTTTGAGCTGTTCTGCCCCAGCTCCTGTGGTTGTGCTTACATTACTGCACTGTGCAGTTGCTTCAGCACTTCAAATGCCTGGGTGCTGGCACGGTCCTTGGGTGAGCCCAGGGCCACCGGCCCTGCCTGTAAGCCTGCAGGCATATAGAACTGCATCTTGAGTTATTTGCACTAAGGAAAAAGAAGCTGGTTTAAAAATAAAAGGAGTATGTGAACCTGATTTCATTTTAAACTCTATTTGGGTTTTAAATGGGCATGTACTTTTTAAATCTACCTGTACCATGGTTGTGGGAACTTTTCTCTATAGGTTGTGCACAGCAGAGGCGAGATGCCTGATGCTCAGTTTTTTTAATTATCTTTTTTTATTATTATTCGCTGATACTTCATATGTGGAAGAAGCCGCTTTTTTTGTTGTGTTAAGTCTTAAGCAGTGCTGGAGCACCCTGTGTGCCCCTGTGTGCCCCTGCTGTTGGGTGTGAATGCCTGCCCTCATGCTGCCTGCCCCAGTGCTCGGCAGAGGAGCTGCTGTGAGCAGCGGTCCAGTCTCATTTCAGCTCAGGCTTTGTGTCACTTACATGCAAAGAAGCAGCAGTTTAGGACTAGATGGAACATTCCCTTCATCAAATTTTGCTGAATAGCAGACTGTTAATTTTCAGAAGATTTGACTCGGGTGGAAGCAGGATGCAGATCAGCTGCAGGTGACTTCTGGCATGCCTTGTAAGGACTTTGCAACGGGCCTTACCTGAGTGGGAAAGGGGTGCTCTGAAATCACCCAGCATGATGGGGGACATGCTCACAGGACCACTGTATTATACACGCTGCACTGGCCTCAACGCAAGTGGTGTTCGTTAGCACCGTGTTAGCAACTGCAGCTTGACTCCTTGCTGCATGCAAGTAAGCAGCTGCACTTCCAGCATGTGTCCCATGGGCAAAGCTTTTTTCTTCATTTTTTTACTTTTTCCTAGCTCACTTCATGGACCTAGAAGTTCAACTTGCAGGCATGTCCTATTCTCAACTTTTCTTGCTAAAATGTGGTGCCTACAGATCAAATATGCGATGAATCCAATGAAGATATGCTCTATGTGCCAAATCTAACCTTTCTCCTTAAATATACAGTTGCTGACTTGTGTTTACATAACCTTTAAAATGCAGGCGCTGAAATGCCTAATTCCTGTGATTCAAACTCATTCCAAGCCCGAATGGTCCCAGGCCTGACACCTTGCTGCTTGGTTTCTTTTGTGTTGTACTCTACTCTTAGTGTTAAAGTCTGCTGCTGTGAAATTCAGCTGAAGGTTTTGCTGGTGACATTGGTGGGAACAGAGCGAAGCCTGCCGTGTATGTGTGAACTGTCTGAATAAAGCTACTTAAACAGGCTCATTTCTGAAGCCCGCTTTAAGAGCAGAGCCTTCTTAAGGACCAAATCTTTTTTTTCCCATTTCCAAGTGTCTGGTTTCAGGATGGAGCAAGCCATTGCAATAGCTGTATGTTCAAACCCAAGGCACATGTGTCAACAGGTGGGTTGGAATTAACATGAAATGTCTTGAATAAGAGCGCTTTCAGGAAAATGGAAGTTTTCTTAAGCTTGGATCTTCAGCTAGTGCCGAGGATGCCTGGACAGCTGGGCTGCCTTGGACCAGTAGAAGACCTCATCCTCATCATTCAGCAATGGCAGAAGTGAAATTCCTATTGCTGTGGAAGACTTGTGAAATCAGGGGAACCCTTCTGGGGTTTGAGAAGGGAAGTAAAAGTAGTGATAGTAACTGTCAGGTGTAAACCAGCAGGATGCTGAGGTGGCAGTGATCAGACAGCGATGCTGGGAGTGTTGTCTGTATACAATAATGTGCACTGCACTGTTACAGAGCTCATTAGTGAGCAACAAGGTCAGTACAGGCTTATTGGTGGAAAAACTTGAAGGAAAAAAGGCTGGGGGTTTTTTCATAGTACTTCACTGAAGTTTAATCACTGGCTAGCGACACTGAAAGATGAGAAAAGTAATTAAGATTCCATCTAAAACTATAATGTGATAATGCCTCCATTGGTATAGTCAAAGCTACTTTTCAAAAACTAACCGTAATCATTATGAGAATATTATAAATGATTTGGAATTGCATAAAAGCTTAAAATTGAATTTGTATACACAGAGTTGAAAAACTTACCTAATACTGCACCATTTATCCAGTTTCCCAGCTATGGATTTTTTTTTAATAAACCATGTAGTATATAGAAAGTGTAAATTATATACAGGCAATGAGAAGATACATTTGCAGCTTCTTGCAAAAAAAAAAAAAGACTGCAACTTTACATTTTTTTCACTTAAATGCAATTTTATACATTTGTGTTGCTTTATATAAAGGAAATTGAATGTGAATGTTACCTTTTATGAATGCAACTTGCTCTTTTTTCATTACAGAAACTTCTGTTTGAAGTAATCAATAAACTTTGGTATGTTGTCCTGATTAATATATATTTGTTGTGTGTCTTGTCTCCTTGCATGCTTCTAGGCAGTAGTTTATAACGTGAGCTTTAACAAGGCAGTATGGGGGGGACCACTGGCATTTTCACTGGGAGGTAGCAAGGGGATGCCAGCAAGGTCACTCTCTGATGCGGAGCAGTACGTGCCTAAGGAAATGCTGGTTGCTTCTGTTTTTATTTTTCTAGCAAGGTATTAGCAATGCTCCTGGTAACAGCTGCTGTGTATAGATGCCCTATGTGCTCTAAACCCTTTTCCCTAAAAGATATTGTCACATTAAGAAAGCGAGTTCTGTGAATTAAGTGAATAAATTGTTTTAACATTGTAGAAGAGTGGAACTCGGAACTTTAGCTGATATTTACGAATTGTGTAAAAAAGAAATGTAGGTCCCTGCACATAACTTCCATATGTGCATGGAAACTGTTTCCCAATGCTATGCATTGATTCTGTGTGTTGTGGCTGTAATAAATATTTTTTTTTAGTTCAAAGACTAGAGGCATACAAATGAGGATTAGTCAGTGGTTTGTAGAGCGCCTGGAGCTGGTGAAGTTCAGGCCAGATATTTGCATTGATTACCAACAATGCACTGTTAGAGCAAGACTCAATGTTTGTATAATACAAAAGAAAAATATACAGACTCAATTTTATTTTTTTTTAGGACGTGGGTCTGATTCAAACAGATATATTTGTAATGAAAATGACAGTTTGAAAAATTCTGTTTTGGCTGCTTCAATTTCTTCAGCTCCCATGAGCCACTGAAGGACAGATGGCTGTGCTATTTAAAACAAACTATAACCTTTAAGAGGCAGCCTGTACTATTGGAAACCAGATACATGCATTGAGAATCTTGATAGCCCAAGTGAGTAATAGTGAAAAATCATCTGAAGAGCTGGAAAGGCTTTTACTTTGGGCTGGCAGGACAAAAGTAGTAAATGTAAGCGATGGGAGATGGCTGCGGGACACAGCTCTTTCAGAAAGCACCAAGTTAGCATTTAAAATGGCTGTGAAACCCTTCAAAATGGTAAGAGGAAGGAAGCAATGTCATGTTGTAAGGCGATTTTTAACAAGGACAGCAACGTTTTTAAAGGTCAAGTTGGCGTGCGAGAGCTCCAGGCAGGCAGTGGAGCCACAGTGTGTCCGTCCCTCCCTGCTCCTCCCCAGCCGTTGCAGAAGATGCGTCCACGGTGGGCACCATGCAGAGCTTCACCCCACTGCTCCATTTGGGCTTTGCTGCTTAACTCTCCACATGTCTGGGGATAACCTGCTAAGCTGGAAAATACTCTGTAGCCTGGAGAAAGGGTGGGTGTGCATCTGTATGAAAGTTTCTTTCCAAAATGGGGTTTTTTCACAGTACCCTGGGATCAGGGGTGATGCTCCTGTGTGCACGTGAAATTCTCTGAAAAGCCCCACTAAAATCCTAAAATCTTCATAAAATTTATGAAGACCAGCCAGAGCTTAATCACTCTGCACAAGTACTTTGATGTTGGTATGCTTGCTTCAGAGGTGAGCAATTCCCTCCAACATCAGTTTGACTCCCAAGCCATGCTTACCCAGCTCTGTTTTTCCAGGTCTCAGCAACACCCTTAAAAAAGAAGTAATAAGTTAAAGCTCTTATGTCCTCTTTTGCCTGTTGGAGTTTGGGCATGAAAGACCACACAGCTGCTCCCCGTCACAGCTGAGGCTCAGGGGCTGAGCATGGGGCAGGCAAGGATTGGATCAGTAGAGGAATTGCCAGACTTGCTGCTCAGCTCTTGCTTTCTACAAGGCTAAGTAGGAAAGAAGCAGCTTTTGGAA